AGCCATTGATCGAACCTTGTTCTTTGCCTCGCAACTGAAAGTTGCCCTGCCACCTGAAATGCAAAGCGTCTCCTTCCAGAAAGAGTCAAAAGCCGTGAAAATTCGCTCAACCGAACCCCTTGCTGTTGTTCTCTTCGACAACAACTATTCACAATCCAACGACGTTACTATGATTTCTCCTGTAGAAAAACTCGACACCCGGTATTTGGTAGTTTCTTCTGAACCTCGTTTTGCCAAACATCCGGTTTACGCCAGTTTGTTTGGTGTAGCTGCATTGGAGGACGACACATTAGTGACGATAAACTTTAAAATGGACAGTAATTCAATGCCTCTAACTATCAGCGGGCAAAACTACAGACGTCGCGCACGGTGTTGGTGTCAAAAGGTTAAAAAAATACTATTGCGGCGGCATTTGCGCTATTTTCATAATTTTAAAACAATTCACTATATGAAAACTATATATATCATTCGGTCGGTAATTGTATACTTAAAACATTTTAACAAAAATATTGATAAAAAAAAATTCCATTTGTCAAAGATATTTATTTGACTATTCCGTCAATTACGTGAAAAACGCATGTAGATCGGTAACAGGAGCGTCGCACACGCAATAACAAGATGTTGATAACTTCCTTAAAACAAACAATACAAACATAAAATTTGGCAGAAAAATTCAAAATATGATGTAGATGATGTAAATTATTAAAATTGTACTGTCATTCTATCCGTATGCTCTGAACGCGACGCTCAAAATCCAAGACAGATGTGTAGATAAGCGTTAATCGACGAAATATGGGATACACATAAAAAGTCTTCGGTTACTTAAATTAATAATTACATGAGCTAAATTTATTTTGAAACTACATCTCAATAATTCTTTTTGTGTGTGAACTATATTTTATATAAGACTGTTATTTTGGGTTGATATGTATGTTGGATTTCTTATATTAAGCCGATTCATTGCGAGGATGTTGAATAAGATGGTGTGTCACAAAGTTTGGAGTTTCAATGTCACAAAGTTTTTAAGATTCGTAAAATGGTAAATTTTGTAATGCTGGGTGAAAAATTAATGTTGAAAATTATTTTAAATTCTACCAAATGCTGCCATGTTATTAAGGAAAAGATCTCGAGACAGAAATTTAACTTGCGGTGTCTTAAATTTTAATAATAACTGCTGTTTCACATATATTTACTTCATGTAGCTATATGTCACAATTAAATTTGACGGCAAAAACGTCACATTTAAATTCTAACTCCAGTAATTACCATCATTTTAAGAATTCATTTTTCTGATTTGGCACCAAACGACATTTAATACAAAATGTGCAAAATCAAAACTTTATTTAGATATGAAACTGAATTGATTCTATAAAGCAGTGTTTGTTTTACAGGCTTTTTACAAAGTCAACATAAATGTCACATATTGTCCAAAAGTAATAAATCTAACTATAATTGTATAAATGTGGTAAAATAAATCATATGTATATTCAATAGAAAGAGACTTATTGAAAATTAAAAGATTTTTATGAAATGTGCATCTTTTCAAAAAGTTATTAGTATATTCCAAAATAATTTTCAATGGAATGGTGACATAATCATAACAAAATACAAATGTCAACATAAATGTCACACACGTTAAAATTTGGCGTTTTGACGTTATTACGTTCAATGCATAAAACGTAATCTAAAGTGTCAAAAGTTTTCTCAAATAAACTAACTCTTCTTGCCGATGAGCCTGATATGGATACAAGAAAAATGTACCAACAATGATTAATTTTAAAAATAACTTTAGGTTTAGAAAGTTGTATTTATATAATATATAACAGTAAAACATGCGTAGTGTATACTGCAGTACACTGTATAAGTATATATCTTTGTACCATTTAGAGTCCGAATTAAGACACGAGAAAAAAATCACACAAACCAAAATCTATGTTAGGATACGATTTCAGATTTGAAAAACCTGACATTAAAGTGTGTCTATTTCAATGATATATTTTCCACCCGCAACATTCATGCAAAAGGACAGAGAAAGTATAGACCTGAAATATCTGCATCAAAGTACGGCCACGTATAATACATGTATATATTTCCCTGTTAGATTTTTCTGAAACTAAGAGACCTTTTCTCGCACCTTTTCTCGCAGGTTGAAAGAGACACATGTTAATCATTTTAATATAGACTATATGAGGAGAAACATAAGTAAAATACAGTTGATACTCTGTAAGACAGTCCATGATATTACCCGACCAAAAGAGAATTTGATTTAATCCCGGGATCAATTAAGATTAACTCATAAATATTAAATAAAGCCGAGTTTATAAAATCATGAAAACTATTTTACCTTTACTCGAGACCTATCCAACAAATATTGAAAGAATAACATAACAAAATAATTTATTTGTTGTATTATATATCTACATTGAATTCTTATGAGAGTTTAATTACATGTGTTTTCAATGAATTGCACTATATACATGTAATTGGCGGTATAACTGGGTTTTTATTTTTTTTCCGTAAAAAAATTAGGGTTAAAAAGCAAAGTCAAATTAATTTTCTAGAACTTCGCGTAAAATAACGTCATTTTGACGTTACCGAAACTGACACCAACACCGTGCGCAACGTCACAGCGATTCAGACACCTTCGAAATCTCCCTGAATAATTTGGAGACTCTGCAAATGGAGCCAGCGCTGATCTCTCGGGAACCTTAGTCGAGTCTTCTAAACCTGTAGCAGTGTTTTCTGGAAACAGATGCAACATGTATACAAAATCGATCAGATGTAGTCATTTTCTTGAACAAATGACTCCGACAACAAACTGGGGAGACATACATATTGTTCCTCCTGATTTTAATAGTGATGGAACACTATTGACCGACCAGCCATCGGCTGAACCTACGGTCGTTAGCGTAGGTCGTTGGAGTACGCAATTAATACAAGTTCTTCCCAGAGTACCGTTTGTATTTTCTTTAAGAGCGAATGAATCAGCCCACATCACCGGTCGTGTGTTCGTTACCAGCTCTGTGAAAGGAAGTAAGAACAATCCAAATTCCAGTTCTCCATATATGGTTACAATTCCAGATATCATTCAGTCAAAGAGTCAGTATATAATCCAAATTCCTGAAGGCTACTTAACCAACTACGTCACGATTATGATCATAAAAGAAAACATAAAAGATGATCTTCGTCTGAATGGACAAGCTATAGAGGAAGGAAAGATTCGGTTCGAAAGTGTGTTGCCGATAAATTTCTTCATGAGCTACACCATCCTGACCTTAGAAGTCTCTACTGGTATGCTGAACATAACGACCACTTCAGGATCAAATTTTAGTCTGCTTGTCTTTGGCTATCGGTATCTCGATTCCTACGGGTTTGCAGGCAACGTTCCTTCACGTTACAATTGTTCCAGCAATAGTTTTTATGGTTGTAAATAAATGAAATTTCTTCATGTTATTATGAATATTAAAGTGGTGTAAGTCACCAAATGCACTTTGAGTTATTTTTTTAGTTTAAAACACCCTGACTAAATCCTTTCTTTTAAAATCCTTTTTCTATAACATGTTTTATTTAGATCATGTCCCATACGCTTCGTCATTTGAAATAGAATATTTCAGTTTGAGGTAATAGATAGGCTCATAAGAGTGAATAATAGCATGTACATTTGTTGTACTACATTGACTTCGACGAGCATAGTTCAATGTTGTTAAATAAAAAATATTGCTGAGTGAAAGTGCATAAAAATAATTTAGAAATGGTAGTCTTAAAAATATTAAAAAAAAGATAATTTTTTCACAGATATTTGACTTAAACTTGTCATCAAGTTAACTGTGAAATCACACAAATTTTTGAGGGGTCAAATTTCATGGTTTTAGGAAAATATATTGGTTCATATGAATTTAATTTCGTGGTTGAAAAATTGTTCAGTAGAAATGTATGTAAAAAGCCACATTTCGTAGTGGACATAAATTCTTGAGTCTCTTTATGCGTTGAAAACCATGAAAATTATCCCCCACAAAATTAGATATTTCACAGTATACTACTTTGCTTTTGAAAAAAAAAATTGAAAAATTTTAGACTTAAATTTTTCACTCACACTCAAAAAATATTTTATAATATATGATAATGTTTGAAGCTTTATATGTTCATGATTTAGGAAAAATGATTGCAAAAACAAAGGATATTCCGATTGGAACTTTAAATAAATTTTTAAAATATTTCAACACCTCCGCAGGTAGTTTTATCCAATTATTCTTTACCTCACAGGGGAAATAATTTTCTATTGATGAACAAAAGCGAGTCTGACTACTGATGAATAAGTTATATACAAGGGTAACAATAAAAATTAAATAAATTTCTTGTGTGCAATGAGCATTGAAAACATGACTTAAAATGTTAAACATGTAAGAAATTTTGCTAATTTTGAAACTCAAATTGACCATTTTTGCAAGTAAGTTAACAGTAACTAGAAAAGTAATTAGAGATGTTGAATAGGATATTGTACCTATAAATCAAAGTCAGAAAGTTTATGTCGTTAACTTGTCAAGGTAAAGAAAAATAAATCTAAAATAAATTTAAAAGTTATGTTAATTAAATTTAATATTAAACGAGAACTATAACTGACTTTTGGTATTAAAAGAATTAAAAGTTTTAAATTTAAAGCCCTTTTCGCAAAAAAATCTAACTCTAAGATTAACAGTGCAATACTCTGTTCTAGAAAAATAATGATTTTTTTCCCCTTAAAATATATATATTTACATTTTAATGAAGCATATGGAGATAATGAACAGTATTCAAGATCAAAAATATCCATAAAATAATACAAAGTCGGAGCAGAGCTAACACGGACCTCCAAAACATCAGAGGTGGGGCCAGGTGCCATGGGGGAGTAAGCATCCCCTGCCGAGCGGTCAAACCCGCCGTGTGCTGCTTGTCATGATCGTCGTCAATTAAGTGTATAAGGAATGGATTAACAATTAGTATGAAAAACGTCAGTCAGCATTTAACTCAATGATAAATTGTATTTGTAATTTAACAAATAAAAGATTTTGTGGTGATCTACGTCAGCGAATATACATGTACTTCTTTTAAGAGTGGGAAAATATTACTCTTATATTACTCTTAGTGGTAAGACTTTTTTTGAAAAGGGTCACAGCATTTTAAGCTGTATAAATGCTTGATTGTACAATTTATTCTTGAATGCTAGTAGAAAGTAGATCAATTTCTTTTTTTTAGTTCGGAATTGTCCTGACGAACTGGATATTTACTTGTTCAATTTATCGATTATATATCTGTTTGAATATACATGTACATGTATCAATAATTGACAAGACTTTTGTTTGTTTTTTTAAAGGATCCAGAAGAACAAAGGCAGTACATTTATAAATCAATTGTTAACGTTCATTGCATCTGATCCAGTTTTTTTTTCAATTAATTCCATTCCTTTGTGTTTTCCGATTAATGGTAGTTTTCTTGTAATTAAAGCTAAAATGCATTTACACCTTTGTTGCAATATACAACAGATACAAAAAATCAGCTGAAATAGTAAGACATTCTATGGCCGAAAATTACATGTAGGAACAAGGATGAAATTTAATTAATTGATAGATAGACATTAAACATAATTCTTTCTCTCTTTCTTTTTTTTTCTTTCTCCTTTTCTGGATAATTTAAGCGAAAAAAAATTTTCTTTAAGGACCCTCTCTACACTGAACACTAATTTCAGGGTACTTTTGGGTACATAGACTGACCCACCATTCGACATAAAATAGAATAAATTGGAATCTGTACTGTATGACATAATTTGAAATTCAATCCATGAATTCTAAACATAATGTTAGACCAAGATAAAGTAATTAAAACCTTTATTTGCCTGTATTTTTTTATTTGAGTAAGAAAAAGAAATTTTTTTTTGCATTATTACTTCATTGTCTTTTAGAATTTTTCCTGGATAAAAAAGGCACGCTTACTATGTTAAAAATTATTAATTTAATTTTAGAATATCCTCCTTTATACTATATAATTTTCTCAAAGTCCAAAAAATATTTTTCATGAGTGTATAGAGGGTTCTTAATATTTTCAAAAATATTTAATTGGTCAGATCGATATCGATATGGAAGAATATCAACATAGCTTACAATGAAGTCGATAATCGTTATAGTTGTCAATTTATCATTAAAGACATTTAAAGACTCAATAAGAACAGATCATCGCTGTATCATATTCTGTACCTAAAAAAAGAATGATCAGATATTTTTAATCATAGTAGCATTTGAAGAAGTCATCAAATACTTAGTAATGCAACACCAAAAGAATTTACAAAATTTTGATTATTGTCCAATTAAGAAGGCTTGAGGGTTGTTGCAATTTTCAGACCATTTTTATCTCCTCTAGAAGAAGAGCTCCCTAAATATATTTAAATGAATATATACGTGTATATGCTAAAATTTTAAAACTGCGAAGTATGAAATTTTAGCTTAATGAATTAACAAGGCCGAGTCAAATCATTTCTGCCCTAGGGATTTTGATAATATTTTTTATGATTAATTTTTACTGTTTTATTTATTGTTTTAAGATTAAAAAATCGAATGTTTACCATCTTGATTCCTTAGGGGGCCATTTTAAAAGTTTACTATTTGGCCCTATGGGAATTTGATGGAAAAGTACCAAATTATCATATTTTCCCCATACGTTTTTTATTTCTGCCCTAGGGATTTCTTTTTAATCCAAGTAGACGAAAGTTAGTGTCAAAAGTTTCCAAATTATGAAATTTCAAAAAAGTTCACCATCTGGATTGGTCTGGGAGATAATTACTAAGTTTATTTTTTCAAATCCCAATACCTATAAAATCGCCATACTACGGTATAAATACATAACAGTGCAGATGAATTATCGGCGCAAAGATTTTTTTGGTAAAAAAAAGAAGCAATGTTAAGATTGACTGTGTGTTTCTTTGAATGTTCCATCATCAGTTTTTTGTGTAATATCCATGGGCGTCTTGAACATACAAGCGAGTCATGCGTCATTTTTCAGCGTCATGCATTGCTAACAAAATCGAAAATGATGACGTTGTTAGAGTCATTTCAGTGCCTCTTCCTAATTATTGTCGTAAAATAAAAATTTCACACCAGGAGGGGTTACAGATAATGTTAATTTTGTATTTAAATTTAAAAAAAAAAGGCAAATGTTTACTGTCGCACAAAGGACTTCATGAAGTTAAAAAGCTGCGCAGAATCATGCGCACTCGAATTAGATTCGGCCTCGTTAAATCTAAAATTTGAGGTATATATTATGGTTAATTTGTTGACGCCCCAGCCTCCTTAATTATCCCTTGAATTTTACAGTGAAGTCTATAGGCAGCGCATGTATTCATCAGATGTCGTAAAAAGTAATTTGAATTTCCGACAATTTCCAACAAATCTCTTGGTGAAAATATGCATAAATATGCATAAACATCCTCCTTATTAAATTATAAATTAAAATAATTATTTACCGCAAAAATTTTGAGGAATTAAAATTGATGCCAAGGTTCAAAGTAGATAAATTTTAGTTGATGCTGACGAACGATGCAGTGAAAAAAACTTTACAATAGGGATTCATGATTAACCAACTCTGTGGTGTCTTATATTTCAAATCGAGCATAAAAAGTAGAAAATAATCTTTTTTAAAAAAAAAATAACACTCTGTTTTTCATGTTTTTATCTGTAATAAATTGAAGAAAACTGTTTTTCATGTGGGATGAAATTATAAATCAAACTGAAAAAGGTACATATTATTTAAATATTTTTTCTTTGATACTCCCTTCTTCTTTATCGTGGATAGTCTGTTTTTATTTAAGCCTATTCAATATTTCTACGGTTAAAACATTGGTCAAACTCAAAGCATGCTCTTGAAAAGAGAATAATTTGGAAGCCATACCAGCCATATGTTGGTGATAGTAGGATTATTACCACAGCTGACGACAGAAAAAGAAGTGATCTCTTCTGACATACCATTTAGTTGTTAGTTCGCTTTTGTCGTATATTGTCATTAAAGCATTTAAATATTATCACATGTAGCCAACTCTGTGTTGTCTTTTATTTCAGGTCAAGTATAAATGGAAACGTCTTTTATTAATTAACCTGAATTAATTAATCTGAATGTCAAGTGAAAGCCATGGCTAGTGT